CGTTCCAGGTATGCCAGTTTTTATTCCCCGGCCAAAGGTCGGATACTTTTCTCACAGGCCTCGTATATATATATCATAAATTCAATTTTATCTGCTGTAATACCTTTTGTAGTGAGTGCAGTTGTATACATATGCAAAATATTTTGCAGGGTATGTTTTATTTCTGTTAATTATATAAAAATGTTTGTATTTTAAGCTTTCAGTTAAAGAGTTTGATTTTATTGTATATTTCAGTTTTACAAAGGTTGTTTTATTTGGTATTTTGTGCATTTCAGTATAATTTTTGTAAAGGATTATTCATGTCATTTTTCCCTTTTTTTGTAAAGTTTCTACAGGGATTTTTTTCATGTTTCAAAATACTTTTGTTTGCAGCTCTCTCGAATTTCTTTTTCATCTCAGCGATCACAATCTGATCGATATACACTATGCTTCCGCTTTCTTTCCGTAATTATGCAATGTTCCGACGAACCACCCGAAGAAAGCCTATGAATAATAAATTGAGAACCACGAATATAGGATTTATAAATGCATACAAACAATTTCTTGTGTGAGAATAGCATTAGTGTAGTGAAAAAAAAAGATAATGTTACAGACATTATTGTTCATGAAAGTTTGACATAATGTTCAGCTTTATTCCAAATTGTTAATATAAGAGTTCAATTATCTAATTACAGAAATTTGGTAGTTAAGTTCGTTCGTTTGTTTTAAAGCAAAGGCACATTGAAATTTAAGAGCAAAAATACTATTAAAACGTTTTATAAGACCAATTAAGCTTCTTTTAGTATAAATTTAGCAGTTTTGGCCACCTTCTTTACAGAAAGGTTGTTGTTTTTTTTAGCGCACATCTACAAACTTGGCTATCTGCACCCTGCCCATCACAGAGAATTGAACCCAGGATTTTTACGTTGCAAGTCCATAAACTTACTGTTGACCAACTGGGGGTAGGGAGATTACAGCAAAGATAAATATACATTGGAAAAAAAATCAATGATATGCTACTGCGATTATAACTTTTAAGTGATTTGAGCTATGAAGAAAGTCTTAAAGATTTGACTTATCTGAAGAACTTGAAAGAAATAGAGATGATTTACTTGACGTGACTAAGTACAAACTTGGAGCTGAATATCCTTTAGTCATATTGAATATTCTGTTGATTTAAACTTCATTTTATTAGTTTATTGAATTTCACACAAAGCTACTCAAGGGTCTTCTGTGCTAACTGTCCATATAGTGAAGTTATAGACTAGAGGGAAGGCAGCTAGTCAACAGCACCCATTGTCAGCTCTTGGGCTATTCCTTACCAATGAATAATGGGATTGACTATTATAATGGCGTTAGGATGAAAGAGCGACCATATTCAGCGATGGATTTTAACCCCACTACTCGCAGAATGTGAGTTAAGCACCATAATCCCCAGTCCATTCATTTTATTGAACAGATATGCAAAGACCTGAATACCTATTTGCTGGCCCAACATTGGCAGTTGATTGGCAATAGTTTACAACTTTGGGCCAACACTGGCACATATAGTGCAGAATCAACACTTAATAGAATATTGGGCCAGTATATATATATATATACAAAATGAAGAAAAACCTACAAATTAAACATTTGAGCATAAAGATTAACACAAAAGAGAATGAAACCATTTCAGAAAATTAATTACAATGCTATACATCATAAACAAACCTTTACACATTAAATACCCCTTACAAAATATAGAAAATACTGACAACAAGAACTATCAATAAAAACATACTGAACAAAATACACAATAAACCTTTTAAAGAATGAATCATAACAGCATTCAAAGAAAAATCACACGAAATGTATTTCAAACTAGCATTTCTCATGTCTAGGCCAAACTTATAAAAATTAATTACAGTTGAAACCAAAATTTTATACCGTGCTACTAGTTTTACATTTTATAGTAACATGAATATATATATATATATATATATATATATATACACAAAAGACGGAAGAGACAAAAGTAGAGATACATATAATACTCACAGCCTTTAAATAAAATAACAAACAATGTTCTGTCCCCTTGCTCTCATTTTAGGCCAATAAGCAGATTCTCCAAGGTGGTAGTTGTTGGGCGATTGATCAGTCGTTGCCCTTATAATTTCACAGGACTTGGCCAAGGCCCTTCTCGTGTCCGCCTACTAGGCTCACAATCAGCAAACTTCTTCAAGACATGATGAAAGTGTTGCTTGCTGCACCACAGTTGGTCCTCTTCCTTTATATGGGGCTCATGCTTTGGTTCACCTGTGACCATCTCCCAGCAATGCCATTTGAGAAGGGGGATCTACTGGAGTGTTGGGTGGTTGGCAGTACTGTTAAGACATTACCCTCAACTACTGCTAATTTGATTCACGAAACCTACTTGGTGGTGGTGGTCTGGCACCTCCACAGAGACTCCTTGTTTTGTCTAGCTATGGTCTGGTGAGCTATTGAGGCCTATGCTTCCTCTTTTATTGGGAAGGTACTAGGCATTGTGGACGATGGAAGTAGCAAAGAAAGTACTGAGGCCTTCTTTGCTGGCTGGTCCTGGCCCTTTGGTAATACTTTTGGCTACCAAAGTCACTGCTGCAGCGGGCATTGGTACTAATTGAGCTTGAGTACCTTCTTCCAATCTTCCCAACCTTCAAGTGAGCCTTCATCAACTTTGAGATGTAGTATTCTCAGAGAGGATACTAAGATGTCCATTATTTCTTCTTCTTCTTTACTGTTACAACAGTTGGCAACAAACATTGTCTGTAATAGAAATAGTGCTCAGCTGACCCATGTTTAACTTCAATACTCCAATGTGGATTTTGAAGAGTGAACCTCTCTAAATGTATAAGTTCTTGAGAGGAATTGTCTGAACCAATATTAATGAAATTTGGTAGAGAATTCAAGTCGGCCCCCAAAAGATAGAGTTCACATAAATAATTAAATAAATGTTGGAGTTTGTTTGGCAGTCATTCAAATTTTAGTACATGAAGCCAATGCTGAAAGAAAATTAGAGTTAATGTAGTATGAATACCTTTACTAATTGTTCATGTTCTGTATGCCTGCATAGTGAATGATGCCTGTGCACACTGTCCCACCATCCTCACAAAGCCAGCAAAATACAGTGCGAGGTGCACACGCATTTGCTAGATTATTGCGTGTAATTATACATATCTTTTGTGCTTCAGTTTAAAGCCATACCTCGATTAATTTTTAATTAAAGAAGGAATGTTTTTTACACTACATGACAGTTTTATTTAACCAACTCTCCATCTAGGTCTATTTCGTCATTAATGTTACTTCTGTAGCCTCCTTTCATTTTAACTTTGTTTGGGCAGTACTTGTTAGTTAACAAAAATAAATATACATGCATACGAAAATGTAAAAATTCACTACATTTGAAAGTCACTTTTATAGGGATAATCGTTTGATATAGCCAAAACAGTTTAACTCCAAAAGCTAAACATAATTAAGATATTCCTTTTTCTTATTGTGATCAAATTCTGTTAAAATATTGTTGGTTTGTATCAACCAAAAACTAAATAAATCTTACAGTACTCGCCAAAGGCAATTACCTAATTTCTTCAGAAACATTTTCAAATTTCAGATAAAATGTTTTTAGCAAAGTATTTTTCTAGTCAGTATCTGATAATTAATATAAAATCTGTTTAAAACTAAATCTGTGTGTTCTTCCATTTGACCTATGGTTTCATGATTGTTGTTAAATTTTTTTATTAGTTAGTACAATATAACAAATAATATTGGACACTTATTAACGGTTAAATTAGCAATTAGCAAAGCCAATAAAAACAGAGAATACATTTTCAAACTATACATCTAATAATTTTTATTTGTGATACATTTTCCCCAAATTTAACAGTTAGTGCTAGTACAGTCAAGAAAGGCACTGCCTCTAATGTTTAACTTGTAATGAACCTGAACTACACATAGTTGACACCACTTAATTCTCTACAGAAAACGGTTTCTTCTTTGAAGACAATAACTTTCTTTAGTACAGTAAGGATACAATTGTTAACCTTTATTCAAATGAAACATGTAAAATATGCAAGTTGTATTAGAAGTAACCAAACATTATGACACTATTGCAGGTTTGTAACTTAAATAAAACAGCTAAGATCCATTAATCTAAAACATTTATTTAATTTCTATACCTACAGCACAGATCAGTCCCAAAGGTTTCTGACTACTCCAATGAAGTTAACAATTTACAAACATTAAAATCTCTTGATATTACACAAGTAAGTACAAAGACTTTCTGGCAAAGTAATGAATCAACGAAATATTCAAATGTTTATTTATAAGCTCTCTAAATAAATAGACAAGTTGACTAAACAGTCTGGTGTTAGATGAGAGCTCAATAATGGATGCCCTATTTATTGTAGAGCTCTGTTTCAAAAACGAAATTACATATGATACACATATTATTTATTAAAAATGTCTCTGCTCTACAGAGCCAAGCTAGTTAATCACATGAATAAAAATGATTCAATTACAACATAGTATATATTTAATCGGAGGCTCAGCATCCAGAAAAATTGGTTCAATTGGCACTTCACATGCTTCACAAGCCAATATTCAGCCATGATTCAATCAGGAAAGTTTAGGAAAAACAAAGGCACAAAATTGATAGTAATTTCTACAACTTCGTTTTATACAGCAAGATTCAAAGTTAAAACCTTTTAAAAACTTTAATAAATTAACATCCAAATAAACACTTTTTGTTAAGCTTTACTCACATGTTGATAATTAAGTGAGCCAAAGTGCTTGAATTATATTTGACAAGCTTCAAATGGTTTACACCTTAATTTTCAAAAGAAATTACAAATCATAATCAAAATTCAAGCATAATTCCCATGATATTAAAATAATGCCATTTTAAGAGGTTTAATAAAGGACTAACTTCTTCCTTATAAAAAAAAGTTCAAAATAAAATACTGTTTGAGCTATCACAAGTTTTTATTTTTAATATACTTGGTCCTCCTTTTCATTCAAAAAACTTAACATGTTTCAGATGCCAAATTAACAAGACTCTCACCTAGAATTATTTAAAAACAAAACCTACACAGATGTTTATACAATTTCTTTGAAGAAAATGTCAAGTATTTGTTTCATTTGTCTGTGAACAATATCACACACTGCTGTTACAGTTGGCAATGTTGTATAAATAATCAAATCTACCAACAACTTTCCTCAATTGGAATGAATAACCCTTCAAATTGTAGAATGTTTTGTTTTATCCATCATGGGAAATAGAGCCCCAGATTTCAGTTTTGTGAGTTGATAAACTTACTGCTGACTCCCATAGAGACTCAACTTGTAGGAACTTGTTCTTTCAGTCAAAAAATAAAAAAATGGGGAAGAATGTTTGAAATGTAACTATGAATACTGCAATTTTGTATTCTTGTTGAAAAACGTGGTTTGGATTCATTAGATTTGTTATATTAAGAACAATCAACTGGAATAAGCTAGATACTAATAAAAAAACACTATCATAATGTTACTGATTTCAACATACAATTGTCTTAAAAATATTATTCTAAATTAAGCCTAACATGACACAAGTAGAAAAATAAAAATTGCTTAAAGTTTATTTTATGAATAGTAAACTGTCTGAAAATACATAAAAAACTAATGAAAAAACTAGGAGTTGCATTAAACTTCCAGATGACTAAGGAATGCAGAATTATTTTTGTGAGGTGCTAATGTAGATTTCTATAAGTACATTTAAAAAGTAATTTTAAAAATAATTGTATTCATTGAGGATATTCTTATTATCAGAAATTAAAATATGAAGACATTTCAATTATATTTATGTACCTATCAGAGCTACTATGCAACAAGTTTAGTCTGCACAACATACACTTATCAAAACCTGGTTCTTGGGATAGATTAATTTCTGGGAGGCTCAAACTAACCTCAAATTTTAATATTATGTTACCTGTAGTGAATCTTTTAAAGTAATAGCACCACACTGTGTAATTCAAGAAGCATCCTTAACACTTATTTAAGAATACTTCTTCAAAAGCTAAACCTGCTAACTTTCCTGGTGAAAAAAAAAGAATGCATACTGCACCTCTGATACTTAGAGCTGAAAGAGAAAAGTTATCCAGCTTTAAAATATAAACTTATGGTCAAAAACAGGTTCATTGAAGCCCAGTTTTAATATTAAGTAAACTTAATAAACATACATTTATGTATTAGTGTGTGTGTGTATATATATATATATACAGACACACACACAGAGCCAAATGTAAGGAGCGTGTTCAGCAGCATATCACAGCTTGAGCCTTCAGGTCTGCAGCATGGCATGCTAAGTACTAGACCACGCTCAGCCCATTGTTGGATTAATAATATACATGTACATTTCAAAATTTAGAACTGATGAATGAATAAAAAACATCTTTCATCAGAAGCAACAGCAAACCAATACTTTTAATACAACAAACCCCAAACAATACCCCATGTGTTTGATTATTCTTTGCATATACTGATCTGATTTGCACCAAACTTATTATATTACTCAGAATGGAATAAAAAAAAAACGAAATTCCTTCCTGAAGCATTTTTTGATTGCTAATCCATGACAGTTTCCACAACATAAGATATTCAAACCTGTCATAGAAATTTAATCCTTTTAAAATATATATATACTGTAAGATGAAGAATACATATAACCGAGATGTGATGTCAGTGAAATTAATATAATCTTGGGAAGTTAGAAAACAAAGAAAACCAGTACATTTTCATTTATGTATGTACAGATATAATCTTCTTGACAATCATTTATCAACAACTGGCATCTGAATCTTTTTTAACAATATTCAAGGCTCATTTAGTAATGGCATTTCTTGTTGATTTTAGCTTATCCATTCTCTTCTGAAGATGAGCATTTGCAGTTTCAAGCTCTTCAATTCTGGTCTGAGCTTCTCGAACCTATAAAATAGTATACAATTAAATTATTTTTTATATGCAAAATTACCAATAAAGACTCAATAACTGAAGAAGAAACTGTGTATTTGATGTAATGAGAAAATAGCTTTAATTTCTACAACTTGTCTAAAGTATCAGGAAATTAAACTTACCTTCATCACTGGTAACCAACTATGGTTTTAATATACATAAATTCTGGAAGTTTCTCAGAAGAATATCAGCAAATTAACATTTTTATAGTATAAAACAAACCTTAACCACCAAAACAAAGTCACCATGGCACAGGCTATGATGTGGGATATAAGATGTCTTAGTTTTTGGAGGCGTTTGAAGAAGCAGGACCCATTCACAAAGCCTCATATGTAAAGGAAAAAGAATAACAGAGTAAAATAAGAAAAAAATTAATTAGAGAAGAGAGAAAGATGTGGATGCTCAAGCTCACAATGTCCAACATCTATTATCACCTTTCACTACTTGCAAACATTTGTGGGAAGGTGACTGATCTCAGAAGAAAAGAAATGAAAAATCAATAAGAAAGAAGTAAGGTCCTACCACTGGGTGTGGTGAATAAGAAAACCTTACCTCCTGAAGTTGGCATTCCAGCCTCCATTATGGTAGTGAAAGCTCAAATTAATAAGGTAATATTAGTAGCACAGCAGACAAATAATATCACACATATTCTAAAAAAAAGTTTAAGAGAAAAAGAAATGTACTTGGTCTCTTTCAAAATATGCCCATTTTAGGGTTGGTCATGAACTTCTATTCTTTTGTACAGATATGAAAAACAGCCAGTGAAATTTGATATATATATACCATATATAATGTATCAATTATTACTGAGAGCAGTAATAAACTGTAGAGTAACTTACAGACACAGAAGGCAATTTACATTTTCTTTTTGAAATGATTAAGTTTGACATACAAGTACCAAAAAGTGTATTTTCTCAATTATCAATGTCTGTATGCTTTAACTACTTCATAACAATGATCCTGCAGTAGTCTTTCCACAAGAAAATGGATATGTCAACATTTCTCTCCCTCCTCTTATGCAGATTCTCATAAGTTACCCGATGTTTATAATTTACAAGTACATTCTCAAGCAGCTTAAAGACATGATGCTTTAATGGATTTGCACAAGGGATTTCATATTTATGTTGTTTAACTGGGTTGCTGTGATTCCAATTTCTTTGGTCATTTTTTGAAATCAGATGTTGATTTTGGGGTGTGGTTGGAGGCTTGTGAACTTTTGGCTTAAGAGTCTTTGTCACTTTCAAATCCTCGTTTACCTCTTGTTAATAGTAACATGAAATATGTTCATCTTTATCCCTATGAATCAGTTTTAGGTTGTTGCTGTCTCTGCTGTGAGGGTTTTTGTAGCCATTAGAGCTCTATCTCATTGAAAAATTTTGCTTTATGAATATTTCTCTTTAGGAAAAGTGGAAAAATAATGCAACTCTCCAGGCAATGACACTTTTTTGGAGGCATTTTACAAGTCTAGACAGTAGATGTCTTGTTCTAGAGCCATCCTGACATTTGAAGGGATATCATTTTGCTAACTAATATACTTCTCAATAACTTATAATGATCCTTTGTTTATCATGTTGAATGTGAGAATTATTTCATGGGACAGATGCTAAAAAACTTTAAATTTGAAAAAAAAACATCCTCTCATAGTCATTTATCACACATCAAGAGCTGTCAGAGATTCACCTATTTTTTTCATGTCATGACCAGATAAAAAATGAATATCTGAGGCAGTTCTTTGATTTGATGTTGTTAAGTACAGCACAACATTTTTATACTGTTGACTACATTATTGCAAAATGACATGACTTTGATATAAACAATATTACAAAAAAAAAAAAAAAGTTTAAAGCTGCTAAACTTAGCCTTTAGATATGTTCAAAAGTTTAAAATATAAAGTTAAAAACTGGTTTTGATGGGGCATGGTGTGTTATCTACATATGTATGTATTGACATAAAGGAATTGAAAGTTGCATATCCAGGGGGCTTTAGGGAGTGAAGCCCAAGGCATCAGATTTAGGCGAATCCTGCAAAAAATATACATATACTATAATTTATTGCACAATATACTATGAGTAGCATGTGACATTGTGATTAGAATAAAGCATGGCTATTTTACATGCTTGACAAAATTTACTCTTGCAGTCAAAAGGAACCCTATTTAAATTATCAATAAAACTGAATTTAAAAAACTGTGTTCCTCATTTATAATTATTATACTATCTTTTTTCTTTGAATATAAGTAAAATATTCAAGATGTATAGGACTGCATGCTAGAAGCCATGTCATCTATTTCTTTTTATATTTAGTACAAAACTTTCTTACTAATCTATTTAGTGTAAGTGATTATGCAACAAAACCCAAAATCATAAAAAATGATCTGCCACAACCATGACTGCAGTTATAAAAAAAGTAGGGAAGAGAGTTGAAACAATATTTCAGTAAGTGAAGTACCATTTTGTTTTATACATATAAATGAACCATACTGAGTTCTTGTTATTAGGTAGCTCATTCGCAGCGAGTGTGTCTCAGGGGTTTGCATGTTGTTGATTTGTTTACTTGAAGTGTTCCAGATAAATGTATATTTACTGGTAGTTTTACAATCATTATTGTTTATTTGGTTAAAGCTTTTTGGGATACAGTTATCTTTATATCTGCATTTTGTTTTCTGTGATAGCACATTGTTCCCAGTGTGTGTGTGTGTGGGGGGGGGAGAAGAGTTGTAAAATTGGAGCATTATATTTTGTTGTTTGGAAATCTTGCAACTTGCCTTGTATAAAGGCATATTCCAAATGAATAAATAATAAACATTTCATTGCTATATTCATGTTAAAGAGAACATGACTTTCCATAATGTAAAAAGTTCCAATTAGAAATTGGTCCAATGTTTAAAATTGGGAAGTTGGATGGAACGTTATTAACTCTATCTCAGCATGGGCTCGGTCCCTGGGACCAACCTCATAACCATTTTGTGCTTGTTATAGTTTTCATACTATAACTTTTAAATTAGTAAGCGAATGCTAACGAAATTTGGCAGATTATCAGTAAACATTACAATGCTTTCATATGCAAAACATCAGATTTTTTTTATTAAACAATGTTTTTCTCATCCCTTTTTTCTTTTCGCATGTTGCCTATCCAACATGCAAAGTAATTTTCATTTTAATTGAAATAAATACAAGTTATGCCTTTTTCGTTCTAGAATGACTACAAATTATAACACAAAAACATAAATGTTTAGACTAAATAGCTTAAATATCATAACATTATATATTTATATATATTCATTATTTTTATTATATTGACCTTTCAGCTGTGCCTGGCTAACAATACAGAAGTTACAATGATGCGGCACATATGCACTCATGTTACTGTATTCAATAATATAAAACTGACCTTTAGTCTTTACAAAGTGACCTGTCTTAGCTGTGTTTTAGTGGACTAGTATTTGGTAACATACAATCACATTTCCATTATTATACATTGTATATGTATATAGATTATTACTATTTAGAAATAAGTTCTTAAACTTATTTTTCTTAAAACATAGAACAGTAAATAAAGAAGTAAAGCAAACAATTATGTCTTCTAGTTACAACCTCAGTACTCGGTTGCTGTTTGAGGTAGGTTACTATGCCTTTTAAAATTTCGCACATGGAGGATATGAAATGAAATAATTTTTTTTTAGGTTTTATGTATATACAGTTCAATAACTGAAAAATCATAAATTACTATATCAATACCATAAAATTCCA